GGGGGGTCAGAAGGTAGAATTGTGACAGAGCTCTCAGAGGAGGAGGCCACACCAATGAATTCTTCACCCCGAAGGTCTTGACATTAAATGGAACAAACACATTTTAACAACGTAATGAAACACATTAATGCAGGTCTTGACATTAAATGGAACAAGCACATTTTAACAACGTAATGAAACACATTAATGCGGGGGACGGGCCTAGCAAATGGGTCCCTGAAAGGAGGCTGGGTCAAGGTTTGACCACAGGGTCCGTCTTGGCTTTTGTGCCCTCTTCGGCAACCCCAGCACAGGAAGTCACACCTTAAGGCCTCCCAGGCGGAAGTTGAGGGGTAGTTAGAGAGACTGTACCACTCTCTTAAGCATCTCTCTGCAGGCACCCCTCAGCTTCCTGCCCCTCCTCTGCTCCAGGCAAAGGCATTGGTTTGGGTCAGGACTTTGGACTTGGCTCCCCTGCTCTGTGGTTTGCCTCATAATGCAACTGCTAATAGGGCTACTGGGTGCTTACCATGTGCCTATTGAAAGAACCCAAAGGGTCCTGGTACCCTTGGAACATGTGGGATGTGGTAATGGTCCTGTGCCCTGTCCCTCTCTCTTGTTTATTTTTGTTCTTCCAGACAGGGTTTCTCTGTGCAGCCCTGGCTGTCCTGGAACTCTGTAGCTCTGTAGACCACGATGGCCTCTGAGTGCTGGGATTAAGGCCCGACTCTCTCCATCTCTTCTAGCGTTAAGAGGGCTGTGCTTTTTCCTCTGTGGCTGTTAGGTTATGAAGCCTTAGAGCTGGCCCTGTTTCTTAAGGGTTGTCTTGGGAGCCCTCACGCCCAATGCAACTGGCCAGAAGCAGGCAGGCTGTGGGAGTGTGGTGGGTGAGGGCAGGAGGGCAGCCTGGTTTTGTTTCTTGCTGGCACTGGGGATCCTCAGGGGGCTGGCGGGAAAGCTCAGAGAGCCAGGGAGCAGGGATCCTGGGACAGGGTTTATCTACTTTAGACTTGTTTAACTTTGAGGAGAAATCAGGGCAGGTCCTAATCTAGAGGAAGGATGTAGGGTGAGGGGGGGTCCTCTGGGAGGAGCCTACTGACCTGATTGGGGAAGCCAGGGGTCAGGAAGACTTCCCTTTGGGATGAAATGGAAGAGGGAGGCATTTCCCCGAAATCTGTGGGCCCAGTGGGACTGGGGATGTGATCCTGGCTCTTTTTAAGGGGAAAAGTATGAAGGGCCCTGAGTGGGGTGGGAAAGACAGACTGCTCACCAATGAAGGAAGGAGATGGGGTTCTATTTGCTGGCTGGCCTTTTCTTTCTGCTGACTCACAGCCCTTGAAGAGCTAAGGAAGCTGTAGTTCCCTGTCCACTGTCCTAGGTCCCCTCCCTCCCTGGCCTGAGTCACCGGGGCGGAGCTGATGGGAAAAGGTTTTCCTTTCCCGGATTTCGCTTAACCCCCAGAGTTCTGGAAAAGGAGGGACATGTGACCAGAGAAACCGGGCTCCTCTGGAGGCTCATCCGTCACTGGCAGAGACACTCCCTCCAAGGCTGTTCTTGGCCTGGAGCCCACCTCTACCTCTTCGTGATGCTGCCTTGGCCTGTTGGCTTTGCTTCAAGTTCTCCGATGGGCTTGGAAGCACCATTGACCTTAGGTGCTCCACACATTTCTTCTTCGGGGAAAGGAGCCACACTTTCATGATTGGGAAGCTGTTATCATAACTCACCCTTCCTGTCACTCTGGAAGCCTCTGCACTCTCTCTGTGTGTGTGTGTGTGTGTGTGTGTGTGTGTGTGTGTGTGTGTGTGTGTGTGTGTGTGTATGGAGGGGAGGGGTGCACCCCTGCCTGAGAGATTGCCGGTGTGCATGCAGTGTGGCTTCTCAGGTCAGTCTCTGGCTGAGGCCCAGACTTCCTGACCCGTGCAGCTGCTGCTGCTGCAGTAGCACTTCCAGTAACAGCAGCTGGCAGGTTCCACCTCCTTCCAGAAGAGCTGTGGAGGCTGCGGGGGCCTTGAAGGCAGCTGGGAGTCTGGACAGCCGGGTGGCTAGCTCTGCTCTCCTGAATGTGATCTGACTGGTCTGTGGCTTCTGCATCTGCGACTTGCCTTGATGACATCCTCTACCTTTGCATGAAGCCGCTTGTGGCAGGGGGTGGGGTGGGGTGGGAACGAAAGAATGAAAGTTGAGGGAAACCCAAAGCTGGGGGATATCAAAGAGCAAGGTCTAAATTGACTCTAAGATGACTTCTGGCTTTGCTTTCTCCACACTGAAGTTATTTACATACAGGAAAGCTACTTAGCTGCTATGAGCTTTGCCAAGGTTATTAAACCAGCCTTCTAGAATGCCCTGCTTGGCCACAGGCTTTGGAACTCCTGGCATAGCCTCAGCTCCTGATTGGCTGGTCTTCTTGAGTCAGATCACCAACCTCTGCCCATCTCTAGTACATGGCCCACTTGTCTTTGGTCATACCTAAACCTTCTCGCCTGCCTTCCCTCTCCATTTGTCCTTGCCAACCTGAGCTGTAGTGTTATGTAGCTGTGGAAGGCATGGACTATGAGGGCAAGTTGCTGAGCGAGACTTATGGAGCTAGAAATATATAAGTTCTTGACTGTGTGGCTCAGGGCATGTGTGAGGTTCTTGATTTCATTCCCAGGCCCCAGCTCCCCAGCCCCGGAGCCCCCAGCATGAATGCACCCACTCATGTATATATGTGATCATGCGCAGAGCTCTTCCCTTTGTTTCTGCCCACTCCCGGGAATGGTGCTTGCAACAATGTCATCCACCTGTGTCCCCATCTGATTTTGTGTATGTGTGCACACTGGTGTGGAGTGCACCCAGTGCATGGAGGTCAGAGGTTAACCTCAGGTGTTTTCCTCAGATACCATTCACTTTGTGTTTTGAGACAGGGTCTCTCACTGGAACTGGGCTCACTGATTCCACTCTAGGCTAGGCTGGCCAGAGAGCTTCAGGGATCTGCTTGTGTCTCTCAGCCCATGCTGCCATGTCTGGCTTTATGTAGGTGATGGGAATTGATCTCAGCTCCTCGTGTTTGCACTTTCCTGAACCATCTCCATGGCAGCCGTCCCTACAGCTTGATTCCCCACCCCCACCCCCCGCCCTTGCACTTTTTATCAGTGTAATGAAATCCAGAAAGGTGTGTAGATCCTAATGGCTTACATCGGAAGCATCCACAAACCGGGACACTGAAATGGCAAATGAGCTTCGGGGCTGTCTGTTGGAAGATAGACAGGCTATCCCTGAAACAGCCTGCTAGTTCTGGGTAGACATTCCCCGGCAGGGCGGGGGTCATCTCTGAGGCTCTGTGTGAGATCCCCGAGTTCCACCTCTGTCTAGGCCTGCAAACAATACCAACTGCTAAGCATCTCTCTGCCATTCTTATGATCAGCTTCAGGATCATAGGATGCGGTGTGGTGGGGAGGGGGCTGACACCTGATTGTCCAGGGTTATAACAAATGCTAGCATACAGAGCAACCAGAGACCAAGACAGCACTAGACTGCACAGTGGGCACAGTTTAAGGGAGAATGTTCCTCAGCAGGGACAGGAACCGTGGGGGAGGGGCGTCAGTTTGCTGCCTCTATGGCTCCACCCTGATGGTGTTTTCTCCTTCTGATTCTTCCCCCAGGTGCTCCTGGCTCTGCTGGTGGGGATATACCCCTCAGGGGTCACTGGACTGGTCCCTTCCCTTGGGGAGCGGGAGAAGAGGGATAGTTCGTGTCCCCAGGGAAAGTACCCCCACCCTCTGAATAATTCCATCTGTTGTACCAAGTGCCACAAAGGTAGGAGCGGGAGCAGTCCTCCTGAGTCTTCCTTTGCTTGTTTCTGGTGTTCTAGAACCTTGGTCGCTGGGAGTCCCCTTACTTGGCTGCCTCCCTGGGCTTGGGTTTTGTGCTTCGACTCTCCACTGCAGCCTAATCCTGGGCCCACTCACAGGAACCTACCTGGCGAATGACTGTCCGGAGCAAGGGAAGATAACAGATTGCAGGGAGTGTGCTAAAGGCACCTTTACCGCTTCCCAGAACCACGTCAGACAATGCCTCACTTGCAAGATATGTCGGAAAGGCAAGCCTTGGGAGTGGGAGGGCTCAAGAGGGGGCCTGGTCCGAGAAGGCACGTATGTGAGCACGTATGTGTGGATGTGGATCAGGGGTCAGGATTCGAATCTGCTTATGGGTAGGGTGGGAGCATGTGTGCACATAGGACTGTTTATGCTACAAAGACAGATGCACTCATGCTGAGGAGGGGAAGTCAGGCTTTGTATGGGGAAAGGGACGCGAGACTCATGTATCATTCATTTCCTTCCCTCTTCAGAAATGTCCCAGGTGGAGATTTCTCCTTGCAGAGCGGACAAGGACACTGTGTGTGGCTGCAGGGAGAACCAGTTCCAGCAAATCTTTGGTGAAAAACACTTTCGATGCGTGGACTGCAGCCCCTGCTTCAATGGCACCGTGGCTATTCCCTGTGAGTCCAGGCCCTTTCCCCTCCTCAGGAGTATCCTGTCTCTCAGGAAGAAGGTTTCTACTTCTGCCCCTCCCCCGACATGAGGTAGCATCTTCTTTCCTCCCGTTCTCTGGTCTGTGGGTCTGAGCTCCTGTGTAGTGCCTGCATCTTGCCCTTCTTCTTCCCTGTGGTCCTCAGACTACACACACACTTTCTTAGGCTTTTTGTCTTCTCTCAGGTAAAGAGAGTCAGGACACCGTGTGTAACTGCCATATAGGATTCTTCCGAAATGGAAATGAGTGTGTCCCTTGTAGTCGGTGAGTATCTGCCCACTGGTTGGGGAGCTGGGGTGGGTGAGCAGCTGTGGCTGGATTAAAGGAGACATCCTGCAACTGGATGAGAGAAAGGCCCTACATCAGGACGTCAGATAGTCCTTTTTCTTTCTCCAGTACATTAGTGGGTAGACAACATGGCATAGCGGTAAAGTGCTTGCCACAAAAGTCTGAAAACCTGAGTTCAATCTCTGGAACCCATGTAAAGATGAAAGGCGAGACTATCAATTCCACAGAGCCGTCCTCTGACCTCCACACATGCGCCATGGCACGCATGCCTCTCCAGGGCTGGGCAGTTCAATGCGAGCACTCTGTGTTCTGTTTGCTTCGTCTTACTATTAATGATCCCTTGGGTTTGATGCCCACGCCACTCCCCTATGGTGATTCCTTCCCAGCCTCCTTGGCAGATTTCCTCATGCCTATGACTCCACTTGGGCTGCTCTTACACATTTGCTTCCAGAGAAGTAACCCTGAGAGTCTCATAGTTGAACTGACCTGGGGTTAAATCCCAGCCTACCGATTTCCTGGCTGTGCAACCGTGGGCATGCTATTACACCTCCACACCTTACGTTTCTCAACCTTTAGAGTAAGGAGGTGTGGGGTTGGAAGTGTGGTTCAATGGTAGAGCACTAGCCTAGCATATTCCAGACTCTGGGTTGAATCCCAGGATCATAAAACCCCCAAACAGAAAACTAGACCAACAACCTATGAAATGGACTGAACAAAAGCTATTTACTTTCTATCTTTTTATTTTTTGGGGGGATTTTTCGAGGCAGGGTTTCTCTATGGTTTTGGAGGCTGTCCTGGAACTAGCTCTTGTAGACCAGGCTGGTCTTGAACTCACAGAGATCCACCTGCCTCTGCCTCCCAAGTGCTGGGATTAAAGGAGTGCGCCACCACCGCCCAGCTTACTTTCTTTTTTTTTTTTTTTCACTCAATTTCATCTCAAAAGAGTTTGTATACCCAATCCCATGTGTTTTCCACCCTGACCTGGTGAGGTAGATAAACAAGCCTTTCACTGTTTCCAGATCTCACATTCTCACATTCCTCTGCCCAGCTCCCATGTATAGTTTTCCCATCATCCTCTGCCCTGTGACAGCTCTCAAGGGAGGGCTCTCAGGCTGCCCCAGTGATAGACATTCTAAAACTGCTCAGGCTTGTGTGACCTGTCATCTCCAAAGTCAAGTGCTGTAAGTGGCTGGTGTCATCAGAGATAAGTCCTTCAACTTTGTATATGAGTCATCTTTCTGGGCCCGAGGCTTAATCAGCTTGAAGCAAAGAAAAGTTTCTTTTATCATGGCTTCCTTCAGCTCACAGTGTTCGGCCTTGAGGCTTTGGAGCCTGGGCTGAGGTTGAGCTTGGTGATCAGAGCACACAGTGGGGCAAGGCTGCTCATCTCATAGCAGCTGAGAGGCAGAAAGGGTGTGGAGTGGGGTCAAAGGCAAGCAACCAGTCCTCAGGTCCCAAAATACTGAGGATCCAGCCTTCACCACATGGACCCTGACAGGACGCTCCAGATCCAAACTGTAGGTCTCTCTGAGCTACAGTCCCACCAGCAAACACAACGATAAACTCAGTTCACTGACAGCTGCCACCTACTAAGTGCTCACCATTCAGGGAGAAGTACTTGACTCTTAATCCCAAAAAGTAAGAGGTGGTATGATCTCCCTGTCTGTGGGCCACAAAAGTGAAAATGGTTTGTTTGTGTTACATCATTAGTCAGTGACTGGAATGGAATTTTACTCTGACCATCACTGCCTTTTCATTTTTTTTTTTTTAACTGTTGATTGACTGTGGAATCCAGGCTCTTGCATGATGTGTGTCATGCCTCTACCATGGAGCACACACAGAGACCTGCCTGCCTCAGTCTCCTGAGTGCTGCATGTGTCACCACGGCTGGCATTTAAAAAAATACTTTTAAAATATTTATTTTTATTTTATGTGTATGAGCGTTTTGCCAGCATGTATATATGTGTACCATGTACATGCCTGGTACTCTCAGAGGCCAAAAGAGAGCATCAGGTCCACTGGGATCGGAGTTACAGATGGTTGTGAACTGCTGTGTGGGACTGTGACTACTTTAGACTTCTCTACACACAGCCTACTTGCCTGTTCCCTTCCTCTCTCCTTCCTTTCCTCTCTCCATTCTTTCTCAGCAGGGTCTCTCCTGTTGCCCAGGCTGACCCTGACCTCGGTATGTGGCTAAGGATAGCCTTGAATTGATCCTCTTGCCCCTGCCTCCCAAGTGCTGAGATTGCACGCACACACTACCGGAACTCCTTGCTGTCAATACAGTCTTAGCAAGATCTCTTCAACTTGTAAAATGAAGTGGTTGCGTGGGGAACTGTTTCATTCTTCTGCATCAGTTCTCTAGTCGGGTTCCACTGTACTAAGAGATAGCAAAAATGATGGCAGAGCAAAGAGCTCGCACAGTCTTGCTATTCACCAGTATTGCCTCTCCTTCCAGCTGCAAAAAAAATCAGGATTGTTTCAAGTTGTGCCTACCTCCAACTGGAAATGTCACAGACCCCCAGGACCCAGGTGAGGAGGAGTGGCCTGGTGAGCTTGCTCACCGGCTGGCTGGCTGGCTGCCTGACTCCCTAGCCTGCCCTCTGCCCTCCCCAGTCTCTGCTGCTACCTCATACTGAGCATCCTCTCTGCTACTCTGCAGGTACCCCAGTGTTATTGCCCCTGGTTATCTTCCTCGGGCTTTGCCTTTTATCCTTCATCTTCATCAGTTTAATGTGCCAGTACCCGCGGTGGAAGCCCAAGCCCAAGGTCTACTCCATCAGTGAGTGTGGGGTGGGGTGCTGGTGGAGGTGTGGGAAGATGGCGGGAGATGAGGCGTGGCCCCTTTGTTCATGCTAAGATCCTGGATGACAGGAGGGAAGCCATACTGTATCAGTAATTCTCTTGTCCCTGGGGCCACATAGACCCTGAGGCATGACACCACAAGTCCCCAAGGCCAGGGTGCTGGTGTTGAGAGGGAAGTGAAATTCATGATGCTTTCTTTCTTTCTTTCTTTTTTTTTCAGCACCTGACAAAGAGGTGAGAGGGAAACTCCAACTTCAACTTTCAAACTCCTGATACCCAGATTACTTGGACTGGGGTGGTGGGCTCCCTTAGTTCCTCTACCTCCACCCCCATAAGGAATCAAAAGCCCGGAGGGGCTCTTTTTCTTCCCCCACTAATATGCTGCCTTCTCTCTTTCAGGTGGAAAGCGTTGTTACTAAGCCCCTAACTCCAGCCCCCGCCCCAGCCCCAACCTTCAGCCCTACCCCTGGCTTCAACCCCACTCTGGGCTTCTGCTCCACCCCAGGCTTCAGTCCTGTCTCCAACACACCCATCACCCCGGGCCTCCCCTTCGACCCTAGTAACTGGCCCAACTTCAGGGTCGTGCCACCTCTAAGGGAGGTGGACCCAACTCAGGGAGCTGACCCTGTTCTCAACGCATCCCTCCCCTTCGCGTCCCACACCTTGCCGGTCCCCACCCCTGTTAAGAAATGGGAGGACTGTGCCCACCCGCAGCGACCTGACGGTGAGTTTGGGCTCCTAGCAGCGATGGGGACTTTACTCCTGCAAGGAGTCGGGCAGGGCGGAGGCCAAGACGGCAGGGCTGCCGCTGATGGCGCACGGTCCTTGTCCCCAGCTGCAGACCCCGCGACGCTATATGCGGTGGTGGATGGCGTGCCTCCCTCGCGCTGGAAGGAGTTCATGCGGCTCCTGGGGCTGAGTGAGCACGAGATCGAGCGGCTGGAGCTGCAGAACGGGCGCTGCATGCGCGAGGCCCAGTACAGCATGCTGGAAGCCTGGCGGCGGCGCACACCTCGCCACGAGGCCACGCTGGACGTACTGGGCCAGGTGCTTTGCGACATGAACCTGCGGGGCTGCCTGGAGAATATCCAGGAGGCGCTCGGAAGCTCCGCCTCCTCGTCTGCGCCCTGCCTCCCGCGATGAGGCCACACCCCGCCTCAAGGGAGGGACTTCAGGACAGTCCTGGCAAGAAGAAGCTCTGATGCCCTTTGGGCCTCCTCTTTGGACGAAAAGGAGGGAAGGGCATTGAAAGGGGCAGAGCCGAGCCAGCGGCCGCTTCCTTGGTGCTACGCCACTTGGTGTACATAGCTTTTCTCAGCTAACGAGGAACGCCCCAGAGCCAACTACTTGTGCGGGGCAGCAATATGTGCCATCTGCCTGCTCCCAGCAGGCTAAGGGTGCCAAAAGCCAGAACAGGTGATTGTAGAGGAAAGGGACACTATATCTCATGCCCACTTGGGGATGCACAGGACTCAAGCAAGGCTCCTAGGGACCTCCCCAGTTGGTTCCTGGGCCTTTTTCACAGTAGGTAAGCAATATTTGTATCAATTATATCACACTAAGGGAAACTCGGCTTCCCTTTGCTCCCTGCCTGGACAAACACAGCTGAACTGTCTAAGATAGGGGCAAGCACAGAACAATGGGTCTCTAGCTGGAGCCGTGGACTCTTGTAAATACACTAAAAGTCTAAAAATGACCTCCGAGCTTGGAAAGAGTGGTTTGTGTGTTGGAGAGGCTGGGCAGAGCCCAGGACCCGAGGAGAGGAGTGGCTTGGCAAATCCAGCCGTGCTGCCAGTTTACAGAGTAGACTGTGCAAGCATCCCCGCCCCGTGGGTGCCCATGCGTCCCTTCTCCCACCCTCATCCACTATGGACCAATAGCCATGTTTCCGAGCAGCTTTATGTGGGGCTCAGAGATGTGTCTGTGAGACACAAATGTACAGTTCTTGACCTCAGGGTCCCCAGAGCAGGAGGCGGGTGCCTGGGTCAGGCTTGGTTTGAAGTGGGTCCTTGAGGTAGAGTCCAGGGGGAGGGTGGTGACCAGCACTCTTGGGGAGACAATTCCTCTAGGAGATGTGCCACTGGGCCTCGGCGTTCCTCATGCTTCTCTGTAAAGGAAGGAGACAGATGCATTAGGTCAAGGTCAAACGGCAGAGTGAGGTGACAGCTGAAGCTGAGTGCCCTCCCTGTGTTGGTCCCTGCTCTGCACTGCCTTCCTTAGAACAGCCCCTCCCTCACGTCACACTGCCCTTTTATGCCACAGTAGTTTCCCTTCTGCACTCACGATGTGGACAGGGGGGTGTCCAGCTGTATGATGTGGGTCCCCCTCATTCTCTGTAGCTGGGCTCGAGTCAACTTCCGGGGCTTGCCATCCCCAGGTTCCGAGGCTCCCTCGATCCTTTGGCTGGCCAGCTCCTCCCTTATCTCCCTGAGCATGTCCTCGGCCTGCAGGGGCCGGGGGCGGAGTCCCGGGGATAAAGGCCCCTCTTCATCTGAGGATTCCCAGGGGCTTTCCCCTGCAGAGTCAGTGGGGGTGGGAGACTGGGGGAGCGGGCTCCGCTGCTGCGCCCTGTTTAGGGTTTCTGCTACCACATTCCGTGTGGTCGGAGTCTCATCTTCCTCCTCGGACCAGGTTGGGGGCGCTCTCCTGGGCAGACTGCCTCCTCTTAGTATCCCTTCTGGCAATTCTGGGGCACTTCGTCGCTGGCGAGCTTGGGGGTCAGGAGGCTGGGGGCGCAAAGGAACATCTCGGAGTTCCAGGGTGGAGAAGGTGAGACGAGGGTCCCTACGAAGAGCCTTGGCCCGAAGCCTGTTCAGCGGGGAGCGAGAGGTCTTGGGGGAGCTTGGAATCCAGGTGCCATAGCCAGAGTCCGACGTGTCATCAGGCATGGAGGGAGCATCTTCGTCTGTATCTTCAGTCACCACTAGGCGGGGGATGACGCTGTACTCCGAAGTCCTATGGTTAATAGCAGAAAGTCGGACTGAGATAATGAGGATCAGATTAAAGCCCAGGAAGCCTCCCCCATCCCTCTACTCAGGAATGCCTCCTCCTCCAAACTTACTGTCCCGTCTCTTCTCGTGACACTGATTGTTTTCGTCATCTCACTGGCTAGAATGGTGCTCTATAAAAGACCTGGCTACTCACTTCTTTTAGACAGCACACACACTAACATTGGAATGACAGAGAAGATTACGGTCCCTGTGCAAGCTCATGCAATGTATGAAGCGTCCCATATTTCAAAGAGAAAAAGGCAAGACCTTGAGCTAAGCTGGGTGTGGTTGCTCAGAAGTGACGTCATGAGTTCGAGGTCAGCCTGAGCTACACACTTTTAAAACAAACAAACAAACAAAAAGAGCTTGGGCTGCCTCTGAGCTATTCTGTCCACAGCACCTGGTTGAGACCTCACACCAAGCAGCTTGTCTCATATTTGCTGACTGTGGGTTCTTTTTCCCTGAAAGTTGCTAAGCAGCTGTATCATCCCGGATATGGACCTCTTACACTATGGGGATTTGAACTTGTTGTGTCCTGGAAGCACTGATATTCTGAGAATCCATATCTACCTTCTCGCTGGAGCCTGCCCCTCGCAGGAAGCTCACACGCCATGTTTCTGCTTCCTTAGCCCTGTGCCCACCCTGTCCCACACATCCCTGGGCATGGTGGCTACCAACCTGTCCCATTCCCAGCTGCTGCTCATTCTGTTCCTGTACCCACAACAGGTCCCCACAAGGTGGTGCTAGCTCTTCTCAGCTTTTTTTTTTTTTTTTTTTTTTTTTTTTTTCGACAGGGGGTTTTTTTTTG